ATGTATTTAAATTTTTTTCTATTTCTTTTTTGGTGGGATGGTATTCTTTGAAATGCTTTTGTTATTAAATTGATTCTCCCCTCCTGCTTTCTTCTAAGGTATTTACCAACCTTTATGCAGTTGTAATTAAAAAAATATTTGTTGAAAATTAAGACTTGATTTAAAAAACAGTTATCTATAGTTTGGCACTTCTCATATGTAGAAACTATGTCTGATAGCTATATGTGTGTGTGCGTTTGTATGAGACATACATACATACACATATATAGCATCCGGCAGACGAATATCATTAGTAAAGGATAAAACAGAGTTTGAAACTTTTAGATGACTGGTGTTTTAACCTGACTTATAAATGTGATGGTTTAGCTGTGTACGTGAACATAATCCTTAGTTACTAAATAAGGGAGCATGTTGTTATGTTTAATGCTTTGAATGTTATGATTGGCTGAAAAATGTTTCCTTTGATAGTTTTGTAACTTGGGTATCATACATAAACAACTCCTGTGCTACTAATGAGCCATCTATCCCTTTACTTTTTTTTTTTTAATCAAGGAGAATAAACTTAATGCCCTTAAAGACAGATAGTCCACCCAATTCTGTACCAGCCAGTACAATTTCCAGCCCTTCCACAGAAGATATTCATTCAGGTAAGTGATATTGTTACAGTTTTAATAAAATTAAGGATAGAATATCTTTCTTGTTCTTTTGGAAACTTGTACCACTTTTTAAAAAATTTATTTATTTAATTTAATTTGTTAGTATTTTTTAAGATTTGGTATAGTGCATGTGTGCTTACTAAAGAGAGACAGAGAGAGAGGGAGAAATAAGAAAGCAAGCGCCAGTTCCAGGACTTGAACCTTAGTTGGCCATGTAGGAATCCAGCACCTTAACCACCATGCCATCTGCTGGCCCGTACGCACACTTGCTGCTTGGGCCAGCAGGTGATGTAGCACTGGACTCCCACATAGCCAACCGTGATTTGAGGCCCAGACCTGACTTGAAAAATCATGCTGGTTGTGTGTGTGTGCATGCTCAAAATCCCAGGGGAAGAATGGAGAAGGGATCGCAGCATGCAAATCCAGCACCTTAACCACCATGCCATCTGCTGGCCCGTACGCACACTTGCTGCTTGGGCCAGCAGGTGATGTAGCACTGGACTCCCACATAGCCAACCGTGATTTGAGGCCCAGACCTGACTTGAAAAATCATGCTGGTTGTGTGTGTGTGCATGCTCAAAATCCCAGGGGAAGAATGGAGAAGGGATTGCAGCATGCGCTACCCTCCTGCCCCCTGAGACTGATTTCTCCCTCTCACTATCTTTTTCTCTGTCTCCTATTGACAAACACACATGCCCTATGGCAAGAACCTTAGAAACAAACAAACAAAAACACTCACCTGCTGCTTGTTCCTGTCACATCGTGGACTACCTTGCCTGTAGAAGCAGTCCCTGTGAGCTAGGTGATGGGTTTAGGAGGAGACAGTATAGATCAGGGTTCTCAACCTGATGCCTGGACATCTGGGGCCAGATAACTCCTTGTTGTGAGAGGCTATCCTGTGTGTAGTAGGACATTTAGCAGCACCCCTGGATGCCACCCCTTGCCCTATGATAAGACATTGACCACTGTCCCTTGAGAGACACAGTCTTCCTGGTGGGAACTGCTGGTCTGTGGCCCAGCCATGTGGCACAGTGGTGGTGTCATTTGGAAGACCAGGCTTCGGTTCCCGGGCTGACTTGTATGTGCCACATGTACGTGAGCGCTCAGGCCTGTGATCCTGCTGTCTGAGACCCTCTGGAAGGTGCCTGCCTTCCCGTTTCTCTCTTATGAAATAAACAAACTAAAAAAAAAGAGGAAAAAAAAAAAACCCTTCTCTAGATCCTTCCCTTGTTTCAATATAAGATTTTGCCAGGCAATTTAGTTCCTTGTCTTAACTCTGTGAATCTCAGCCCTTACCTTACAGACCTAGACCTCTTGGTTTGCTTGCCAACCTCTGGTTGTTACAGTTTCAGAGATGCCTGGAGACCCTGAGGACAGCCCCCCAGAGCTGAAACGGCCCAGACTCGATGAAAACAAGGGAAGCATTCACAGCCTGGACCCTTGATGGTGTCTTGACTTCTACTACAAGGCCTGGCAGGTGCCAGGACCTCATGTGTGCAGAGGAGGCCAGGTCGAGGACACCCGAGACCAGCGGCATCAGACCAAGCAGAACAGACACTCATCTGCTGATTTCTGGAACAGAAGATGCAGGGGACTAATTGTTCTCCAGACTATATATACTCCTTTATTTAGTATCCATTTTTAACTTGGGGATGGGAACAACTTCACAGACTAAATTATGTTTTTGATGAATTTCTGAAACTGGAGTTATTCAACATTAGATAGAATGAGTTTCAGTAAATCCTCCCAGAAAATACTTACGAAAGTATAGCTACTTTATGGGTGGGCTCCTTTGAAGTTAGACTTCAAAAGAGGAGAAAGTAATTTGAGGTTTACTCTGTTGAATTTTAGACTGCTTCAAGTGATTATCAGAATTGGTTTTTAGTTGGTTAATTAAACTCTGGAATTTTTGTTGTGTGTGTGTGTGTTTTCTGACTTTAAAGGTAACAGTGCTCATTCTGGGATGTTGGTGAAATAAGAATGAGGGTGGAGGTAGGCTCACCCACAGTTTCACCAGCAGCAGTCACCCTTGTTAATATAGTATATTTGCTTCTTACCATTTTTATGGATTTTTTTATTCTTCCAAAAGGGACAGAGACAGCACCCCCAACCAAGTCCTGATGCCATGATGTATCCCCAGACTCAGCTCCCTGAATCCTGGGCACTCGTGCCAGGCATGCTCAGGGAGGTATCCAGAAGTGAACTGAACCTTCCTACATGGGTCAGCTTGGCAAAACATCGCATTTAACCACTGTGCTACATCTGCCCCTACCTCCTCTATTTTTTTTTTTAAGAGATACTTTACTTCGGATACAATTTGGTATCCAATTAGGTTACTTTTAAGATAATTTGTTATTTTTCAGTTTGCCAGAGGGCACATGTGCTTGCCAGAGAGGGAGCGAGGGGAAGCAGGAGAGCATTCCCCATGCGGAATGGTCATGCTGCGGTCCCTTCTCCATCTCTCTCTTTCGGGATCTGGGACACACATGTGTGCCCAGCTTGTTTCTCGAGCCACCAGGTCTGAGACTTAAACCGTACAGTTGACCATATGGGATCTAACTCCTTAATAGCCAGGCTGGCCCTAGATGATTTTTTCAAAGCAAAAAAAAAAAAAAATGTTGGGACCAGCAGTTAGCGTAATGGCTATGTTGCTGGACTCCCATGTAGTAGACTGTGGTTCGAGTCCCGGACCCAGTGGCTTAAACTCACACCGGGCGCGTGTGCGTGCATGCCCAAGATCCCGAGAGGAGAATGGAGGAGAAGGGATTGCGGTGTGGCCATCCCCCCTGGGGGGTGATTTCTTGCTTTCTGTCTCTCTGTCTCTCTCTTCCTGGCGAGTGCATGTGCCCTATAGCAGAAACCTCTCAAAAAAAAAAAAATATTTACTTAGCAATTTGTATTTCTTTTCTTCCTTTCTCTAGCTCCTAGGATGATGCCCTATAGCAGAAACCTCTCAAAAAAAAAATGTATTTACTTAGCAATTTGTATTTCTATTCTTCCTTTCTCTAGGTCCTAGGATGACATGTTTCTATTTGTTATTTGCTTACTTCTTTCATAAAAGTGAGAAAGACTAGCACCCTTAACAGTATCACACTGTTATCCCCCTAGTCTTCCCAGCCAGCTGGGGTCACAGGCACGTACCTGGAGCTTACAGGTGGGCTGGGGGAACTGAACCCCTGATCTTCCACATGGGCTCAGCATCACTTGAACAGTGAGCTACTGCTGAATAAACCCCTGAGCCAGCACCATTCTCTGCTAGGAGTAAGGGAAGATGTGGATTAGTTACACAGAGTGATCGTGCTGGAAGGCAGCCGTCATGACTAGATGCCGTAACTGAGAAGTGGTTAGGGGTCCGGTGGCAACTGGTTCAGCCGCATTCACTTAATTCATTACTTTATTGGCTAGAGAGTATGTGCCTTCTCCAGAGGTCACCCTCCAGTGGGGCCTGGTCATGCAGCAATCCTTTTCCTCCATTCTTCCCTCCAGGATTTTGGGCATTCATGCACACCCATCTGGTGTATTTTTGGTCACCAGGGCTGGAATTTGAACCATAGTCAGTGCTGTGGGATCTGACTCCCTTAATGGCTAAGCTATGGGGCCCGGCTTGAACTGCAACTTAGAAGCTAGTGCTACTGCCTCCTTTTAGAAGAGTTTCCACAGTTAAGTTTCATAATGCTCAGTGCCCTCACTATGATGTGTGAACATGAAGGTAAGCACATGGCTTGGTCCCTAGTCTGAAACAGCAGTGTTAAAGAGTTCAGCACCTGCCACTAGTCCGACAGGAGTCAGGTTGAAGACTGGGAGAATGCATTCTTTTTTATCTCAGCAACAAAGAAAAAATTGGAAACACAAATGTGTTGTGTAATCTACAACCTAGTAAACCAGAGAGTCTGTCCCCCTTTTAGATGGGAAGGTGGTAAGCTGCAGCTAATTCTCAGTACGGAGAATTGAAAGAATGCACACACACCCTTGTCATAGTGCAGGCATGGGTCACGTCAGCATGAAAGGCTTTAAATGCCAAACACTATCTGTTTAGGCCAGTGCCTCTCAGCTGCAGTGGCACATTGAAATTGCTGACAGACAAACGGACAGACATACTGAGGCCAGGTCCCCCCAACAGAGGGTCCGGCCTATTTGGTTTGAGGCGTGGGCTGAATGTCAGAACCTTTAAGAACTCTTGGAGTAGGGCCAGCAGGTGGTGTGGTAAATGTGCTGGATTCTTGCATAGCTGACCACAGTTCAAGTCTTGAACCTGGCGGCTGACGTTCTTGTTTTCCCTCTCTCTCACTCTGTGGTCAAATTAGTCTTGAACCTGGCGGCTGACGTTCTTGTTTTCCCTCTCTTAATCTCACTCTCACTCTGTGCTCAAAAATTTTTTTTTTTTTTAAAGATAAATAATTAAAAGAAGGCTCTTGGAGTGGGGCCAGCTGGTAGTGTGAAGGTGCTGGGTCCCCACACGGCTGACCATGGCACGTCTGTGTGCACACACAAATGAGAGGAGAGGAGAAGGTACTGGCGGCTGACGTTCTTGTTTTCCCTCTCTTAATCTCACTCTCACTCTGTGCTCAAAAATTTTTTTTTTTTTTAAAGATAAATAATTAAAAGAAGGCTCTTGGAGTGGGGCCAGCTGGTAGTGTGAAGGTGCTGGGTCCCCACACGGCTGACCATGGCACGTCTGTGTGCACACACAAATGAGAGGAGAGGAGAAGGTATTGTGGCATGGCCACCCCTGGGGGATGATTTCTCACTTTGTCTCTAGTAAGTCCATGTACTCTATGGCAAAAACTTAAAAAAACAAAAACAAAAACAACCCTATTGGAGTAGTGGCCATGCACAGCCAACACCGAGAAACCATAGAAGGAGCTTCTGCCCTGCCCTGCTCTGATCCAGTATATTTCCCCAACTTCTGCGGAGCTCCACACTGATGTCAAACCTCCTCTTCAACCGTGCTGCTGATGAGAGGGCAGCATCCGGAGATGTGCTTAGCTCCTCTCAGAAGAGGTAGTTTTAACGTCACGTGGCTGGCTGGGGGCATAGTGTGGGGTTCCTGATGCCTGTACTAACAACTGTGAGACCACAAGGCTCCTGTCCTCAATGGGTGGACTGCTTCCTGGTCACACCCAGGCAAAAGGCGGGGGGCCTTACGAGAGAGAGTTGGACGGTGGGTGTGGCTTGAAGTGGAGAGGCCCTTCCTGAGAAGGTGGACACGAGAACACAGGAGGGGTGAAGAACGTGCTCAGATCAGGAGGCCCTGTCATCTCAGGTGCCCCCTAGTATATTCTAACACAGTGTTAGGTTTTTGTTTTCATTTTAGGTTTATTTATTCCATGAGAGAGAGAGAAGGGGACCCCCCCCAACAGGTCTCCATGCTGTGAGCCACCCCTAGTCTTAGCTGCCCCAGAACACAGGCATGTGCAAATGCTCAGGGAGGTCCCAGGACACAAACCTGTGACCTTTCCCACTCGGTCCAGTTGCATTCCCACTGCACCACCACCTGGCCCTGGTTTTACAAATCGGTCTTGTGCACAGGTACTGGGAGTGTCAGGGATGGAATGCAGGGTATACCTTCAGCCTGAAACAGGTATTTGCATATAGGACTGACTACCTGCGACTCTGAATATGAATGACAAAATGAGCAATAAAAGGTGCTCTAAAATTGCCTGCTTCTCTTGGGGCAGTTTACTGGGGAAGCCTTTTGCAAAAGGAAAAGCCTGATGTGAAGGACCTGTGTACCTGTGTACCTGCCCTTTTCCGCTGTTCGTCAGCTCTTATCCACCCTCACGATATGTACTTTGAGCAGTGTGTCCAGACATGGGACTGCTGTTTTGTGCATGAAAGATCCGGTGATCACATGTCTCCAGCAGCTCTGTTGCTGACTGTTGGTCCCCACTGCTGGGTAACTAGAAGAGAATGAGGCCCAGGGAGGCTGGAGAACTGGAGTGTGTTCCCCGGCCTCTGGGAGATGACAGTCGGACTGGATCTGCCCCCGCCAGGCTGTCTGAAGGAAGCAAGCCGGCAGAATGGCCCAGACAGCAGAGGGTGAGGCCCCTATTCCATACCAGGCATGCATGGCAGGCACAGGTGCATGCTGCCAGGACAAGGGCACTCTGGAGACGTGCCCCAGGGAGCAGGAGCAGGTGCTCACTCAGCCCTCAGTGACCCGCTTGCCCCCTCACAGCCACTCTGTTTGCTGAATGCACTCATACCTATTCTTTTTTTGCTTTTTTAAGAAAAAGGATAGTATCTTGATTTGATCACAGATTTTAACTAATATTGTTTATAAAAGTTTTATAAACATAGGCTGGTCATTTTTTTTTGAGAGAGAGATTTTTGCTATAGGGTGCGTGCGCTCACCAGACAGAGACAGAGAGACAGAAAGTGAGAAATCACCCCCCAGGGGGGATGGCCATGCTGCAATCCCTTCTCCTCCATTTTCCTCTCAGGATCTTGGGCACACATGCACACGTGCCCGGCGTGAGTTTAAGCCACCAGGTCCAGGATGTGAACCGCGGTTGACTACGTGGGAGTCCAGTGACATAGCCATTATGCCAACTGCTGGTCCCAGGCTGGTCATCTTTAAAGTCTCAAAAAGCCATATTAATATAAAAGACAGGAAATAAATTTCATTGAAAAAGTTATAACATAGTTCTTGTACATGCTATGTGGGATCACGGAAAGAAGAGTCATTGTACTCATTACTCAAGGCAACATTAAAGGCAACAGCATGCCTAAACTTTTATGGCCTACTCTTTTATGGTACCCTTGCCCCTTCCCAAAATGGCCGCCAGTGCCCATATAAGCAGCACAGGTCCCGAGACCCCAGCCCTGGCAAGGCGGTGAGGAGCAGGAGGGGTGGAGGTGAACAGCCCTTCCCCGACCCTCAGCAGAGCCCCTCCCCGTGTCACTTAGCT